ACGGGCTGCGGGCAGCGGGGCGGGGAAGGCAGCGGCCGCCCACACACATCAGCGGAGGAGCGCCCACGACGCCGACTCCCAACACCGAGCCACACAGCACACAGCACACACACAAAACAAAGAAAAACAAAAAGAAAACTTATCTTCAGTAAGAACTGCATTGCCCAAGAGAGAAAAGAATGTGCGTGAGACATGCCCACGGAGCAAGAAAACAATATGTGTTTAACACCCACCAGCCCACACAGACACTCAGTGCGCCATGATCGCAGAGGCGGCCACGACGGCCAACACAAGCGGCATCAACGCGGAGGCAGCAGCACTGCTGTCAGCGTTCAGGTTGACATCAAGGCTTTTGCCGTGCGCTTTGATGATGCTCTGGCGAGTGCCTTGTCCAGGTGAATGACTGGCTTCTGTCATAGATGAACCCGCTGCGTGTGAGCCTGTCTGAGATCCCCCAGAAGCATTCTCAATTTGATGATTCCTGGCATCATCTGCGGTGGTGGATATGGGATGGGCATCGGGCGTCTGAATTTCAGAGCTTCGCACGCCCTCATCAGTGGAGGCTGCGATATCTCTCTTACTTCTGGACTTAGCCATTGTAGTGGAAGACATATCTTCAACGCCCGGAGCAGTATTAGCCTCGTTGACTCTTTCCACTGAACCGCTGCTGGCATCAGAGGAGCTGATCACAGGACTTCCCTCCACATCCTTGTTATCCTCCAGGCCACTGCCCGTGCTCTTTCTCCCGCGGAAGATGTTCGCCAGCTTCTGCAACACGCCGGACGGTATGTGGCGCCCCGGTCTCCCGCTGCGCCTCCTCAGAGTCGGCCGCTTCGTGGGACACACTTCAGACACATTTGGGCACACAATACTGCCACTCAGCACGGTGCTCAATTCCGCCACGTTACGTGATTCACCCGCAGGGCAGCCGTACCAGTTGTTGCTGCCGGCCACGCGGAAGTACACACCTCGGGAAGTGCACTTCATCTGCACGCACACGTCACCAATCTCCTTCTTCTCCACCATCAGACCCTGGCCCTCCACGCACCGCGAATCCTCGCGAATCAGACTCCCAGGCATGTTGCTCTCGTTGCCATTAATGCAGCTGAAGCCTCTGTCAGCCACAATGATGGGGCAGTAGTCCATCATGTCCTCTCGCCTGCCGCCACGCTTCTTGCCACCCTCGTTCTTCTCGAAGTAACTATATTCAGTAGGGATATTTTCATTCTCTTTAATGATGCACGTCCCCAATGACTGACGGTCAGAAGTGCACTTCAGTTTATTGCCAAAAGATTCATCGCAGAACATGCTGGGGTATTGTGATTTTCCGCCGACAACGCACTTCTTCTCATTCGTAAGGAATTCACATCCAGCATTTTTGCCCCAACTCATTGTCTCCGCCTTTGTCCAGTTCACCATATAAAACTTCAAATCAGAGAACGCTGAAAGTGTCAACAGCGTGTAGCGCCCAGCACCGACAAGGCCGGTCATCAGCTCGTCCTTCGCAACGCGCCGCTTCCAGTGGGAAGACACACTCACCTTAAGCGGCTCCAGGGGCGGTGGCAGCATGTCGATGGTTGGAATGTGCCTGGGAACAAACTCTGGTCCGGTGAAGTCGAGGATCACCGGAGAAACAGCAGCACTCACAGCCTGCATTGGCGCGGCACCTGCAGCTTGAATGCTGGTGGGGGAAGCTGCGGAAGATGTTGTTGTGGCTCTGCCCTCAAATTCCGCCATCCACGGTGCCTCGCTCTCAAGCGGAATTTTATAATTTGAACAGTTGTAAAAATACTCTGTCACAAGCCTCGTGTTTGGTGCGTCAAAGACATAGCCATCCTTTCCGCGGGGGTTAGCAACTATACTTGGCACATTTTTCCCAACGTGTTTCTTCATGGTCTTCACGTTGAACCCAAGGGTGTGCGCGATCTCGTGTGCGGCGACGCGGACGGCCTGCGACGTGCGTGCAATGTGGCGCGGGCTGTAGTTGATCACGCCAATCACCGGCCGCCCATCGCCCTGCACCGCGCACGTCGCCGCCCACGCAAAGCTGTCAGCCACGATCAGCGAAGTAGTGGCGTACAGCACCATGTCGACGTCATCAACACCTTTGGTCTTGTGCTCTTCAGGGATGTCCAACTGACTGCAGGGGTTGGTGTTCTTGAAGTTCGGGGCAATAACACGGTACTCTGTTGGCTTCACGTACAGGCGCTCAGTGTGCAGCTTGACAGCCTCGGGTATAATGGTCTTTTCTAGAATATTCTTCTTCTCCTCCGTCAGGACGTCGTCCTGCGTGCAACTCACCTTGTCACCATAGGGAGAAGTAAACTCCCCTGAGGCACTCTTACAGGCCTGAAAGTAATTTGCCTTAACCGCAAACACCTTGATGCGCAGGGGCTTATATCCCGCCACAGGCAACGGAAGGGTAATGCTTTGATGTTCCCCCACCATGTTTACGAATTCTGAGAACACGGTTGAAGCACCCCCAGTCGAATCAGATTGCTTCACAGAACTGAGATTGGTCAACTTCTCAACATCAGGCATTTTGCGTGATACATAATCGTACATGCAGCGGTGGTGCTCCGTCACTGCGAGTGTGCTGCCGGCGCAGTGCACAAGGAGCAGCAGCGTGACGCCCAGCAGGCGGCACACTCGTTGAGCGTGGTTGTTTTTGTTGAGCATCTCAATCTTGCTGGGATGAAGAACAGAGAGATCAGAAGTAAAAAAAAAAGTGGCACACACTTACACACAATCATACCCAAACACGGTCGCACACACCACCGCACCCTTACTTCACAGGGAGCAGCTCAACATGAGGAAGAAGAAGTCCATGAGCACAACGGCAGGAGACGCCAGGCTCACTGTCAGCGTGCCGCAGGAGCAATGGGGCCGCCCTGCAGGTGGCACTGGAGGCATAACAGCATTATTAATGATGGCGTGGAGCAATGTGTGCGCACTCCACCAACAAAACGTCCGGCTCCACACAAGCAATAGTCCATAACTGCACCTGAGCCCCTCAAACTACAAGCGGGGAGTTGGGGCAGCAGGGGAAACAAACACAAAATCCATTACCCCCACGAACACCTCCAACCGTCCAAGAGCACAAGCACAGAGAGAAGCAACACGAGGAATGGCACAGACACACACACACATCCAGACAGCAGGCCACCGCCCACTGCGTCATGCCGCAGTCACACAACGCCTCAACGCCACTCACAGAACGTTTCATTCCTTTGCCGCCTTCTTCCGCAGCGCCTCAAGCGGCTTGCATGTGGGGCACGGCGTGTAGAGCGCATCAACCGCAGCCCGCAGCGCAGTCTCTTCCATCGCAGCCGAAACACACGGCCCACCGGCACGGTGAAACAGGGCCCCAGCTGCGCTCACACAGACAGCGGCCTCCTCGTCAACGTTCGCCCACATGTGCCGCTTTGCCGTACGTCCCGCCGTCTGCGCCGCCAGCAGCGCGTTGATGTTTCCCGGCGGCCTGTCCCGCAGCACACACACGTACGCCAACCCGTACTCCAGCAGCGCGAGGTTCACGCAGACGAATCCCTTCTGGAAGGGGTGCGGCGCGAAGACGTACGCGAGGCGCCCGCGACGGTCCTTCCACTCCACGCCCATGTACTGCACGCGCACCTGGCACCCGTCGGGCACCCGTCGGGGCACAGCCAGCGGCACATGTCGCCGCCAGCAGCAGCCAACGGCTCCGCCACCCCGACGGCCAGCAGCCGCACAGGCGTGTGGTCCCCGTCAGCCAGCACCAGCGTGTCGCCGCCGACCACACACTCCACCGTCTGCGCCTCCACCAGCGAGCCCACCGGCGCGTTCGTGAAGACACACAGCCGCCGGCTCTTAAAGAAAGCCTCCAGCTCCACACGCCTCTCCCGCTGCGCAGCCGCGGACTCGCCCTCGCGGCTCGCCACTGAGCCCATCGTCTGTGTGGTACGGAAGAGCGAACACCCACCAGTCAAGTGCACGCACGCGGTCACTAAGACACCAGCAACGGGAGAGGAGCGCACAATACACGCAGGTCACACGCACAGAAACCACACAGCTGCAGCGCAGCACGCAGCAACAACAAGCCAGCAGAAAGACATGCCTGCCAGAGGGGCGGGGCACACTCCACGGAGAGAACGCGCCACAATCAAACGATGCGCACAGAGACAGCACCACCAACCCCCTTCGCACCAAACACAGCACACTGCCCCAGGACGCCACACCAAAGCGCAAGACACCACCGCACACCAACACAACAGGTCAGCCCAATACTCCACACGCAAGCCTGCACATGCCCAAACGCCACCAAAACACAGCAGACCATCCGGCACACCGGCACCGCTGAGCACACAACTCACTCAGCACGTGACAACAGCGTCGCCAGCTCTCTCGAACACACCGTAGCTGCACTCCCAACCAGCACACAAGAAACACCAACAGCACAACATAAAAAAGCCAGCTCAGCAGCACAAAGCACAACGGTCTGCTCCCCAGCACAGACACAACAACACAAAGTCACCTGCACCCACTCAGGGGCTCTGAGCCTCATCAATTCAGCGCCCACGTGCCTCAGAACATATCCAGCCCACGCCACAGCTATCCCTACCACCAACTCCACAGGAAGAACAGCATGAAAGAAAACAAAGCGGATAGTNCCACAACTTTCCCTACCACCAACTCCACAGGAAGAACAGCATGAAAGAAAACAAAGCGGATAGTGCACACAGCAGAGCACTCAGGCAACCTGCACAGCACCGAAGTCACACATTCCACCCAAAAGAAAACCTCACACCCAATGAAAAGAGAAGGCAGCACCAGCTCCCCATCACCGCAGTCGGGGTCGTCCTCACGTTCGGTGCGACGGTGCAAGGGAGCAGCAGTGCGTGCAGCAAGTAGAAAAGAGAACTGAAATGAAAAAAGAAAAGAAACAGCCCAAGGGATGCCCATTTGTCCAGTGCGCCTCTGCCCACGGAGGGGCGCCTTCAACAGCAGCAACGTCTTAACAGCCGCCCACACACATCAGCGGAGGGCCGCCCACGACGCCGACTCCCAACACCGAGCCACACAGCACACACACAAAACAAAGAAAAACAAAAAGAAAACTTACCAGCAGTAAGAACTGCATTGCC